TGGTAAAACAAACTTTTCAGTAATTGGAAGGGTACCTATGAAAAATGAAGAAGAAACACAGGTAAACGGGCAGAACTCTTAACATTTGTATTTATTAAGAAACTTGGTGAATGGATTTCAACAGCCCAAATTGGAGACTAATAGAGCTGTATGGATGGATGGATGTTGGAACTAAAATGTTACCCTAGTAAATGGAATGTACTTCTTTATAACATGCATGCTTTTAGGTAAAAGAGTAGAAGATAGGTTTTGCCTGCAACAATATATCTTGCACTCTTGAGCCCCTCCTTTTATCTGTAATTGAGTTCCAGATACTCTTACTTTAAGAATACCAGCATATCTATAAGTTCAGATTATGCTATTTATAACAGCACAATTTTCTTCTTGTAAGAATTGCCTATTATGCAATTTATCTTATGTATACATATTTTTTAAAAATTCCTGTGTGTAATTTTGCAGTATATTTCTTTTGGGTAAAGTGGATATGATCCATGAAAGCTTATATGATAATAAAATTGGTAAGGGGCCACATATTTCTTTGCTGCAAAAAATTGAGATGATTACTTCAGTAGACATTTTGGGAAGTTTTGTTTTATCATGGAGTGTTCTACAAGATCATAAGTATTCAGTAACATTAACTTTGAACTTAACTCACTGTCCAGGCTCATGTTTTTTTTCCTTCTGAGAGAGGTGTTATGGTGACCTGTTACTGCATTATAGTTGGGAATGAAAATTGTCTTGGTTCATTTTTTGTGCCTGTCTAGCATGATGGGAAGGGAGGACAAAAAACCTCCCAGATGAACAGACTATGGTGTGGCAGGCAGTGGTAGCTTATCATAAGCATCATTTACTGGAGCTTTTGGTAGAAGGTGATAGCCAATGAGGTTTCAAATTATTCCTCTTTCGGCTTGTAACATGATTTATGGAGAAGGCTGTGACTTTTTTGTCTTTCATCTATGGTGTAATTAATCCTTGTAAAAAATGGCTCCAGAAGGTTCATCTCAAATAATGCATTCAGTTCCTGTGGACTTTGAAGGCCATAGGTTGGATATAAATGGGAAAAAATACATTCTTTCTAAGGTTGATTTCTTTGATTAGCTATTTACCAAGTTTGTCCAGTATTCTAACAATTGTTTTTTTTGTTTTTGTTTTGTTTTGTTTGAAAGATGTCTCTTTCTAACCTGATTATGGGACACAGACTACCAGGCCATAAGAATTTCCATGATGGAGTTTCAACAACTTGACATTGCAAAACATGTCAGATGTTCTTCTGAGATGACATTGAGTGCTGGGTTGTTGAGAAGCCATGCTTAGCTACAGTCATTTGGCATTTCTGGAGACACTGGAATAGAATAGAAAATCTACCCTTGAACAGATCTAGGTATTCAGTTTTAGGGTGGATGATGAAATGGACCATATTTGGAAACTGATACATTTCTGAAGCCTGTAGTATGGGACTCCAAGCATATCCTACTTTCCTCAAAGTAGGCAATATTTCTTTTTCTTAGAGCCTGTTTGTATTACTTTAATAAAGAAACCTTTAAATTTGTAATTACTATATTTCTCTCTATGATGGTGGACTTTTTTAGTCATTACATTCACAAAATAGAAAAACAATGATATGCAAAATGTTCAGATTAAGAAAGAAACTGAATGGGGCTAGTGACAGATGTTAGCTCTTCGATACAAAACTTGGCTCTAGAAAAGTTTTCTGTGATTCAGAAAAGCAAACTTGTGCTGTCCAGATGTTTTAGATTTCAGTTTTCATAAACCCTACCCAACATTTCCAGTGGCAAGGGATTATGGGGATTCTAAGCAAAACAACTGGAGGGCACAAGTTTGTCTACCGCAGAGTGAGTTTGTAATAACTGATAGAGATTGTTATGCTGGTTCTGAATTATGCAGTAATCAAAATATTTAGTTTTGGATTATTACTTCAGCTGCAGTTTAATTTGGCAGTGGAATGTATACATTTATGTTGTTCACAAACTTTATGCTTACCTGTGGTATTTTACAATGAATGAACTTGCCGTAGGTCTTTCCCATGATTGTGCATATGGGTCCATACATACACTTTTCCCATCTAATCCCTAGCAAATCTCTAGTATTATAGGAGGGTTTGCTTGTTTTAAAACTTTTTAAGGTTGCAATATAGAAGGCTTTCATCTTTCCATCTTTTCATTTTTCCCTTATGCCAAATACATTTTTTTTTTCTGAATGCTTAAATGTTGGCTTACAGAATATGATGGAGTCAAGAATAAGTGCCTAAATGATTTTGCTCTTGGAAAAAGGTATACTGCTCCAGGCAAAAAACCGCCACTGAAGCAGGTATTCAGATCATTGTAGAATCCAAGCTTTTTATATTGCTCAGCTGGTATTATGTGCATCTTTGAAGAATATAAATGAAAGACTTTTTTAGTGATTATTTCTAATTTTACCTGTGGAAAAAGAATTTTCTTATTATCATGAAATTTTTCAGAGAAATTATTGTGTAACTCTTAGGTAAATGACTTAGGGTGGATTTATCTTAGGTTAAATAGACTTAAAGCTTAGCGGCTTTCTAGTTAATAATAGGGTTATTTTATAAATGTAACATGTTGTATAACCTATTCTCATTCATTGCAAAGCAGTATCATTTTTTTGAACAAACAACTTATATTGAGGTCAGATGAATGCAAAGCCAAGAGTGGTCGGATATTAGCTGAGCTGTGTGTGAATGTTAACGGAACTGAAGTAATACTGAAACTACTGTGGGAGTACAGTGGTGGGGTGAGATAGCGTGAGTGCAGAAAACATTTTCTTGGGCTATGAAACACTCTGCTTTTCCTCATTAAATAAAATTAAGCTTGAAAGCATAAAATAAAAATATATTGTAGTGTAATGTTGCTGTGCTTGAATTCTCTGTTTTTCCCTTTCAGTATACATTTTTAGCAAGACGACAGAGAACTATCTTAGAAATTATGACAGAAAATGTAGTGTTTATGCTGTAATAACGTAGGTAGTTTATGTTATTTTGAAAACAGGATATTGAATTTTGCCTTTTATTATGTTTCTTAGGATATTTTGTAACTAAAGCATTGGGGTATTGGCACTACTTATTGTTACTATCTAGAGAAGCATTTCTCAACCTTGACAACTTTAAGATGCTGGCTGGGGGATTCTGGGAGTTGAAGTCCATGAATCTTAAAGTTGCCAAAGTTGAGAAACACTGATCTATGGCCATACAAGTCTTCAAAATAAATACTTCAGAACGCGCAAGAGCAGATATGAAGCATCTCTCTCTTTCTCTTTGGGGGGGTGAGGAACCATTAAAACAGGCACATTTTTACAGACTTACACAGCTGCTTCAGAAGCTGTGCCCAGCATTTTAGACATGCACACAATTGCAGAAACTCCTGGGAACAGCTTTTGAATCAGTTGTATGAGGCTGATGTGGCTGTTTTAAAGTTTTAAAAATAGGTATTTCATGTGCACTTTCATACATTGCAAAGCACCTCTTCCGAACATATTGCACAGCTTTAATACTTTCAGCTATTTAACTGTTTTTCAGTTAATATCAGTCTGTGAACTGAAATTTTCAGTGCACTTCCAGCTGGTACATTTCTGTTCAGATTATATAAAAATCTGTATATTTTTTTTATTAGAAAGGAAATAAAAGGATAGTGGTTTGAAAATATTGAGGTGGAGCAAAGTGCTAACAGTTAAGTGGTTTTAAGGAAGTTCATATCAGGAATTGAATCTTTGCATGGTTTATAGGAAGTTGACTATGACCGTTCCAAGATAGGATCAGAGCGCAGTTTGCTATGTTATGACTTCTGTGGTTGTGTGAGTCCTCCTTAATCCATAGCATTTTTTAAATAGAAAACTTTGCTCTATGGCTGTATGTCAACATCATTTCAAAACATAAAAACAACAACAACTGTATTATGGATTCCTAGGATTCATCTTATATAAAGTCAGTAATTACAAGTCAGGTTTCAAATTAGATAGGCAAGATATTGCAGTTCTTAATAAAATATTGACATCCTCCTTGTTTGTTTTTATGTGCCAGTTAGGTTCTGCAGTCTTTGATCTACAAAGTCCTAAATTTTAAATTACTACATTCCAGAAGGCTTTATTCCCATTCCTATCTGTTGTTTGTAAGTTTAAAAACTAAAATGTGGTTTATTGTTGCAATGAAAAATTAAAAAAAAAAATCTAAAACTAGAATTTTTAAGGTAACATATTTTTTTAGGTAAAATGAATTAGGTAGCAGGGTGATTTTTTTTCAGGACAGTAACACACTGTCTTATCAGGTAATACATGAAAACAACCATAAAGCAGTTATTTTATAATACATTGCAACTTATTTAGAAGTTCTTAAAAATGTATGTTTATTGCATTAATATATGTTTGGACCAGAGTATATCACCATTATATACAGTAGAGATTAAAAACATTCTGTATGAATCAATGAATGATCACTTCATTCTTGATTCAACCAAATAAGAAAAAAATCTATTGAGGTACTGTTTTTTTTAGTTCTTTTTCATATTTACTAGGGAATATTGCTACATCTAATGTATTATCTCTCAATGATAGTATATATAGAATGAGATTATAATCTGGGTGGGGGAACAGTTAAAAAAGCAAATATGGAAGACGGCTGTGAGTAATGACTGTAAACCTCAATTAAGTCTGCTGCTGGAAATTACAGCTTGCTTCCCATTTCTGGTTGCCAACATATTTCAGTCTGTATAGCTTTGTTTATCACTTATAAATAACAAGAACCATATTAAGAGTATTTATGTAATTTCATCAAATATATCAGTCACAATCTCAAGTCAGTTAAAAAGCTTAAGAGAGTTCTGAATTAAATGGATGATTGACCACTTCCTGATTATTTTAAAAACTGAATAGTTCAACTGTGTGTGTATATGCACTCTTTCTCTTTTACATATGCCTTTATAATTACATTTTTTGAACTTCATGAAGATGATAAATGTCTTATCTCTTGACAGAAAACTGTAGCACAAAAGTGGATATTTGAGGCCTAAGAAGACTTTTTATTAAATGAAAGTAGGACAACTTTATATTCAGTAAGTAAAATGTTTTGTTTAAATGTTCTGTTTAAACTTTTCAGTCATAGATTTACTAATATTAGTTTTAATTCCCAAATGATTTTTGTCAAAAAAGAAAGATAAATGTTTCAGAATCTCACATTGTAACTCAGAAATGTAAAAAAAAAAAAAAAAAAGTAGAAAAACTGCGCTCCTAAAGATAATGTGAATGCTTTTCAATAGTTCATCTTTATAAGTAAGTAGAGTGGTATCTAAGGACAGGCAGTTTTTTCTCATGAGTTTTTATGGATTTTAGTATGAAAGAAAAGGTATGTCACTGATTGCTCAAGTACGTATGGTGTGATCTCAGTATGACATGGAGCAACTATACCCTATATTTAATATTTTCTAGAAGGGTGCAAAATGCTCCAGACTATCATGGAATGTTTTGAAACAAGCAATTCTGACTATTCTGGATGTGGCACAAACTTAATAAGGACCCATTATAATTTTTTTGCAAGTAGAACTTAAAATGATCCTGCTTTGAGGTCAGATCACTGCCTGAACACTCAGAATGGCCCAATCCAGAGTTATAAAGACTTCTTAACAGATGAAATTGTGTGTGCACCCCTGTCACTTCCTGATGAGTATAGGCTTGCTTCTGTATTTAGAGGTATGAAATCAGTAAAAATAATGTGTCTGTGGTAGTTGACCTGCCTTGATTCTTGAAAGCTCTGAGAGGATTTCTACCTTGTAGGGTTTGTGCTTCTGTTAGTGCCTGTTCATTCTGCTGTTGTGGAGGAAACTCAGGTGATTGATGTGGCCACTTGTGACTGTTCTCTTTCTCTTGATAAGACTTGTTTGGCTTCTTTGTTCATCAGAAACCTAGTAGCACTGAAGCAGATGGGTAATAACTGGAATGCTAGTATAAACATGAAGTGAATCCAACAAACAAGTTAGATCCTGTTCCGTAGCAATGATGGTGTAAAGAATGGGATTTGTTTTCTACACTTGCATCGTTGCAGTGCTATTACTCTGAGAAATGGGACCATCTTCTGCTGGACATTAGAAGGACATTTAAGAGCCTTAATTTGGTCACCCGCTGTAATTCATTGTTCATGACATTTCAAAGAGAAAATCTTTACAACCATTGAAACTTGCATACCATTTTCTAATCGGTTGGTATTTGAGAGGTTTAAGTTGTTGAACAATTGGACTTTGGGGAAAAAATGGCAAACTGAAGACCGTTCCACTAAAAACAGAGTTGGTGACTGTGGAATGAAGAGCTGGCAAGTAGACAGGCTCTTCGTAATTCCCCTCTGGACAAGGAGAGGACTTGAGATTGCCCACAGGTGTTCCATACAGTTGCTCCTCACGAGGAGATTGCAAGACAGTGGTCTCCAGTGGGTTTAGAGCTCTGGGAGATAAGGGAATAGCAATCTTTTTGTTCAACCCATGGTCAGTGCCTTCAAAAGGACACTGCGTTTGCATACTTCCTTTTCTAATTACTTTCAGAAATTGCTTGTTAACTGCTTTTCAGCTATTAGGAACCTTTGGATTGACAAGTT